TGTGCATTCACACCACCCACCCTCCTGCCTCGCTGTTGTCTTCTTCTACCTGTTTTGTTAGGAGATTGATACGCGGCGGTTGGTAGGAACTGGCGGGATGTCCGTGCCTGCCCTTCTGGGCATGCTCACTGGGGCTCCTGAGCATGCTCAGTTGGGCCAGGCACGAAAATCCTTTTAAGAGAGCTTGCTAGGCACCAGCAGATCCAGCGCAGGCGCACTAGATCCCATTGGTGTGAATGCACAGATGACCACTTGAAGATCACCAGTTACTGGTAAGAGCCTGTTTTTTAATAGCTTACTTCCAAAATATCTTCTTGACGTCCAGATATGCTGTTTCTCCAGCTATGAGAAAATCTGTAACCACGTGTGGTTACACCAGTGCACAAGGTAGCCAAATCTGCCTGATCGTGGCTCATTGGATTCAGCCAGTTGTTCACCAGCAGCAAAGTTGTGCATACATCTCGGCAAAGGTTGCTTATGCTGTTCACCATTTCATCCATATAGAGAATCTCTTCTCCATGAACGTCCTTCAGTCATGACTAGAAATACTGCCATGCTAGCCACATGAGTGCTTCATAAACTAGTTTGTGAAGTCTGACTATATGGCTGTACTTGTGACCATCAATTACTCCAGCTACTGAACCTTCTACAATTGTGCCTGACTCAGTCCACCAACCCCACAGTCCTGCATCTTGAAACAGCTTACGTACGATGGCCAAAAAATTGCCTGTAATGTGAAATACACCCATTTTATGTATGTATGTATGTATGTATGTATGTATGTATGTATTTTGATCTCCGCTTGGAAGCAGACGGGGAGTGAAACTGATGGGCTCTAATGGCCAGCCTAATATTTTTGGCCATGCTGAGTATTTCCGAATCCCAGTATAAAACCGATACTGGGATTCGGGAATAGCAGTATTTACTGATATTTTTGGGTTTGGTTTACCCGAACCTGAAAAATACCAATCCCCCCCCGACTTCTGCATCCCAGCCCTGGTATTCCTTGGAGGTCTCCCTTCTGAGATCGGATGAGATCGGGCTTGCCGTTCCAACTGCATGTTGATTGGTCTTCATGGTTTGACATTTATGCCAGAAGCAATATGAGATTCTTCTGCAAAGCACAGAAGAATGATGTCTTGGTGTCTGCCTTTACACTATAAGTCTACACTTTATTTTTTTATGTGAAAATGCCATATCACAAAAAGTCTGCCTCTACACTATAAGTCATTGGTGGACCCTCCTTTTTGTCATTGGTAACAAACGACTGTCTAGAAATGCTTCTGTTCTTGGTTTTTTCCACGTGAGGCATTGATTTGGACAAGCAAGACCTCAGTGGTCCTCAGCTAGATGGCAATTCCATTGACTCTCTGTGATGATGGGCATATTTTTGGAGAAGCATCTCTATACTTGTGTTGAAGGGGCGCAAGGTATTAGAAGAGTGGGTTCTGAATTTTTGACAGATCTTTGCCTTCAAAATGCCATCTTTTTCTAGGAGAACCAGGCAACCATTCTCTGTAGAATGGCCTTTATTAAAAACGCTTTCTTGTGTTTACAACTCGCCAAGATCTTCATTAAAACCAGACCATAAATACGTACATGGACCTTGCTGATGACCTGCAAAAGTATTCTTCCAGCTTACCCAAATAGTGATTGGAGCCAGTTCCCAGAAGCCAAGAGGTAGTTTGCAGGATCCATGGTTTCCAGCAGCGCCTAATGCATTTGGCAGAGCGATGGGGAAGACTCGACAGGTGCTCCAGAGCACACTGACTAAGTGAGCCAGAGAAACACTTGACCAGTTTGTTCTGTGGCAGTCACATTTTTCCACCAGCCAGGCAGGCTTAACTCCTTGCCTGCCTTGTGATATAGCTAGGTATATTTTCAGTGTGTGTGAGAATGAAGCTGAGCTAAAAAGAAAGGTCATTGTTTTCATTTTACAAAAATGTGAATTACAAACATATATTACTAATTTACTTCTCCGACAGCTGCATGCACGGCTCTATTCCAAGTGAACGGGGGTCTCTCCTTGCTGCCCGCAGTTGATAGTTACCTGCCTCAAGGAATCAGGAGCCAAATGAAGTTTGGAAAATAGTTGCTTACAGTTGCCAGGACTAGAACGATTTGTTCACTTTGTATGTGCCAGCTCTGGCGTTTCAGGGGGTCCAGTGCTGGGTTTTTAAGCAGCAGCGCCCCTCCCCTGTGCAAAAGAGGTCCTGGGTACCTGCCTCGGATAATTATGCCTTTAGGTACATGAAATTGTTCCATCCCTGGCTGCTATACGATAAGCAAGACAGCAGCTCCAAGTTATTAAAAGCAGGAGAGATTTGTCCTGCAATGACTTCTTGTTTGACTGTCAGGTCTATAAATAATCCCCCAGGGCTTCAACCTGAAAGGTGGCTAATAAGTAATACGATGCTGCGTGCGTGTGTGTATGTACACAAATGAGTCATGCCTTTTTTGGGGGGGAAGGGAAATCTTGCTACCTTTGGGTTAAGAATGAGTGCTGAACCTGTGCAAGGAGGCAGCTGTTGTAAGCACAGGTGTGCTTATTTGGGAGCCAACAGCAGCCGTTCTTGTCCAGCGATGATTTTGCCACAATTCCTTGTGTGCCGATTGTGTCTATGTTAGATTACTACAGCATCTTGCAGGCAGACTGTTTTAGAAAATTCCCTCACCTGAAATGGGGGGGAGGGGGCACTGGTGTTATCAGGGCATCTCTTCTGCCCTAAAAGGTTTTCAGTGGTTCACAGATTGTTTCCTGGGTCAATATAGAGTACTGGTTAACCTATAAAGCTCTAAAAGGGCCTGGAACCCAGATACTTAAGGAGGGACCGCCTGCTCCCATGTCACCTTGTGTATCCCCCTGCATTGGCTTTGGGGGCTGTGTTCCAGTTGCTCCCACCTTTCGGGTCCCCCTCATGAGAGTGCCGTACCTATGGAATGTTCTACACCAGTACCTGTTTCTGGCACTAATATTTGGTTCTGTTCTCTCTGACTTTTGACTATACTCTGATTACGAGATTCTTCCTGACTTTGAATGGTGTTTGTGACTTTGGGTGTTAAAATGGCTGTTGTGATTATGTGTGTTTTTATACTGTTCAAATCTGTTCAAAACCCATTCTGGATGCCGGTGGTGGGAAGATAGGGAAGAGATGTTTTCTGCGCTGCATGGCTGGGAAACTGCATCCCAGCATTCTCTCGGGCATTGCAAGCAGTGGGTGGGAGGGAGAGGAGCGGGTGAACATCTTGCAGTTGCACCCTTACAGCTGCTTATTCACTGTATTTGTGTGAATAGTAATCCTCTATAACAGTCACATGGGCCAGCCTTGCTTGAACGAAAGCATTTCTGTGCAGGGAGCCACAGAGTTTTGCGCAGGCTGTGCAGATAGTGCTGAACTTTAATGGCTGGTGCTCATGGCGACTAAAGGCTTGGGAGAATTCCTTGGGTTGTACAGGGAGGAGGTGGTAGCTTGTTATGAGATCTCATTCTCTCTTTCTCTCAACTGAGTGGCTTGCTTCATAGTTCTTTAATTACCTCTTTATCCTGACCTTCAAGGAGCTCAGGGTAGTGTACATGGGTGTCCTTTTCTCTGTTTTACCCTCACAGCAACCCTGTGTAGTAGGTTAGGTGACAATACAGTAGCTGTCCCAGAGTCACTCATTGAGCTTTGTGGCTGATTTGGAATTTGAACCTGCCTCTAGTCTAAGCACTTTATTCCACTGGCTTACATCACTTGTATTGGGCAAAGTTTTCTTGTTGGATTTAACCTTGGATGTATTCAGATTATCCCATGTATAGGGCTAGTATACCTTTGCACATCGTGTCCTGGAGCATGTGGGAACAGCCATGCATCGCCTCACCACTCTGCTTGTGAGCATCTGGCTGGCTTGTGGTGGAACACTGGTCTAGGAGGGTCCTGTTCTGATCTGCTGGGGCAGTTATTATGATGTTTATTATCCAGGAGGGCTGTAGCTGCTGCATGTGACGCCTTTGAAATCCTCTAACAGCCCAGAGCTGTACAAATGAATCTTTCTCCTTTGTCTTTTACTTCCAGGTCATATACTGTTCTTTCGGTGGTACATCCAAAGGACTACATTTCAATAACCTGATAGTGGGCCTAGTCCTCCTGACAAGGGGGCGAGATGAAGAGAAGGCAAAATGTAAGTAGTGTCGAAGAGGAGCAAAGAAAGTGTTCAGCTTTTATAAATTAAAAAAAAATCAAAAAGAAAAAAGAAAAAAGAAAGAAAGTGGACGTACCTTATCAGGAATGCTTGAGGTCACCCTGCATGGTGCTGCAGGTTGGAGTGGGTGGTCTTTAGGCCCATTCCAATTTTTTAGTTCTGTGATTCTGTTTCTTCAGCCTCTGGCCTTTCTCAAGGAACCCTAGATTTTACTTAAGATGAATATTCGTGTGGGTCATGTCTGTTAGCCAGCCCCACTTAAAGTTAAATGCAAATACCAGATTCTGAGTGGAATCCTTAGTTTTTATGCCTTCCAGGCAGATGCTTGGTAGTCCTAATGAGAGCCAGTTTGGTGTAGTGGTTAAGTGTGCGGACTCTAATCTGGGAGAACCGGGTTTGATTCCCCACTCCTCCACTTGCACCTGCTGATGTGACCTTGGGTCAGCCACAAGCTCTGGCACAGCTGTCCTTGAAAAAGAGCAGTTTGTGTCAGAGTTCTCTCAGCCTCACCTACCTCACAGGGTGTCTGTTGTGGGGAGGGGAAGGGAAAGGAGTTTGTAAGCCGCTCTGAGACTCCAAGTGAAGGGCGGGGTATAAATCCAATCTCTTCTTCTTCTCTTCTTCTTCTTCTTCTTCTTCTTCTAATGGGAGGTTTTAGCATCATGGGCTATGTGCTGCTAACAGTATCTCCTTCCTCTGGCATCAGCGGAAGGCTCCTTGCACAGGAGGAAAGCATTGTCCTTAATGGGACCCAAGCCCATTGTTCTCTGGTCGGTTTTTGTCCGTTTCAGTTCCAGCAACCTGAGTCCTCTAGTGGACAAGTGTGATTTCTGACACTGCCCATTGCTTGCTAGGATGTGAAGGGATGTTTTATGCAGGCACTCAAAGGCCAGGGTATGCAATTAATTTTATATATTACGATCCAAGATCAGGGTATGCAACAGGGGGGCTGCAGCATGGTATACGCGAATGTGGAAAGGCAGCATAAAGACGTTTTTAATAATAAGGGCAGAGATCAGTTGCGCGGGGGGACAGTGGATTCTCAAACTCTTAATCTTGCACTTTTCCCTTGTGCTACTTTGTAATGTGTGTACTCACAGTAGAAAGGGAGTTCTGTGATTGTGTGTGTGTGAGAGAGAGAGAAAGAGAAATCTATCACTTCTGTTACAGTCACATTAGAATCAGACCCCCATTCAAGTAAATGTGGGGAGACAAAATACCGCACAGCTAGGAATTGGGGGATGTGAATGGACCCCAGCATGGGGAGAAATCTTATGTAACAGAACAGTTACTTTATCTGGACGCAGAGTTCTAAGGAGATGTTAGTCTTAGGATCAGCTCCTAAATTGTGCAGAAGTGCAGTTTGAGCTTGACTGGTTTAACTTTTCCTGTGCTTTCACCTAGACATTTTCAGCCTCTTTGCTAATGAATCCGGCAGCTATGTGGTCCGTGAGGACATGGAAAGGATGCTCCAGGTGGTCGATGGGAAAGTCCCGGAAACTGTTAAGAAATGCTTCTCAGAGGTATTTCCTGTGGTTTTGTGAACTGAAAGATAACTACTTTAAACTGCCTAGCCAGTCTTTAAAAGTCCTGGCTAGGGCTTTGCTTAATATGTACATAAAAGCTTGGGACACTTCACATATTGCTATGAAATGCCGTTGCATCTCTTTATCCCTGTATAACTTGTCACCAATCTCCTGGTCTCTGATCAGCTTATCTTCTGGCTCATGTCTTCTGTTTGAGTTGTATCAGCCACTTCTGTACAGAAGGCTAGGTGTGCATCTTTTGACAACTGAGCCAAGCAGAACATCGTTTCTGACATCATGTGACAACCATGTCACTCAAACGTGTTTGGTTTTTAGTGTACAAGGTGCCCTGTACACATGTAGGGTCAGACTGCATAACTGGGACAGTTTTTCTGGAACCAAACAATCTAGTGCAGGGGTGTCAAACATGCGGCCTGAGGGCCGGATGAGGCCCCCAGAGGGCTTCTATGAGGACTGCAGTGGAACTGGCTGTCTTCTACTTCTTTTTCCATTTCTTCTGCTGCTGCGTCATAGAAGGTTTGCAGCTTACAGATACACACCTAAACAGCATACTCAAGATTGCAGCAGCACAGACATTTTGATGCAGTAATTCAGACCAAGAGGTGTCAGTTATCAGACACTGTTAAATAAACAAAATATTGCAAGAGTGCTAATGTTTTAAGCATGTTTTTATTTTAAGTAAAAAAACCCACCTTTTTGTTTGTGTCCTTTATAAAGTTTATATCTCCGTTACCTGGCATTACATTTTATGACACACATGGCCCGGCCCAACAAGGTCTCATTTATGTCAGATCCGGCCCTTGTAATAAATGAGTTCGACATCCCTGGTGTAATGTACCTGGGTCCCAATCTGATTCAACACTCCAACGGAGAAGGCAAAGAAAAGGCAGAGAGAGAGAATCTCAAAATAAATAGTCTTTATTCCCCATGCCAGAGACAAGGCTAGAAAGTTGAAATGCAAGGGATGGCAAACACACGAAACAGCATTGCAATGCAGCAACGCAATCCTAGCAATGCTTCCTTTGCTTGTTGCCTAAATGGGGTAACTGGGGAGTCTAAGGGGAAATAAAGGGTGGAAGGAAAAAAACATCCATTGCTTTATCCTAAAGGGAAGAGTTCATTTCACTGAGGAAGAAAAGCTGGTCTGGGGTGAATGAAGAATCCAAACCAAAACTAGCTGTGATGTTTGGGATCTAAGGCGAGCGATTGAGTGATTCAATGGAAGAGCAACGGTCTGGGAAATAAGCCAGCCACAACGCTGGGGAAGGAGGCTCGGGTGCAGAACCAGCTGCAGAGCTAGGGGGACTTAAAATGCCTCGTTCATGGATTTGGAAAAGATGAGGTGCACGGAGGGCACATCTAGGTGGAGAGCAGGGTGACTTAGATGGAGCAATTTGAGTTAACTGGGATGGTGGATCAGCTCAGGCTGCTCCGACAAAGACTAAGCAGCAGTTTGATGACATTTCCTTGGCTTGGAATTCAAATACTAGGGGAGGCTGTGGAACAAGGAGGGTCCTAAAGTCTCCTTTTACACCTAGGGGTGAGGGAGCTTTGGGAAGCTGAAGGCAGAAACTTATAATCAGTTTGTTCTATGGATCGTTCAGGCAGGAGTCCCAGGAAATTCATGCTACCTCTGGGGCCCCTTTTTTAAATCAAATCATCTTATATCCCCTCTCTGGCAGCTAAGCTGGAGGGTCTTTTGGGGGTGTGCAAATGTTAACATCTCTGTTGCAGCGGGGGCAGCCTTGTTTGCAGCCCTCAGGTCACAGTGATGGTGAAACATGGGAAGATTTGCTGCAAGGAAGCTGGGCTTTGGCTTGACCTGGGCCAGTACGGTCATGTTGCAGGACTAAATTTGCCCCCGCAGCTTATAGAAATCACCGCTAAATAATATATGCAATGAACAGTGCAATGAAAACTGCCTCAAATTTTAAAACATTAGAACAACCAACCTTATTCCCTTCATAGAAATGATGTCCTGAACAGTTCTGTGTTACAAAGTCTGTGTTATGAAAGATGTGTCGGAGCTTTCCTGACTTTGACACGTAGGCCGGTCCAGTGGGCGGAGGTCACAGCAGAAATGCACAGGCCCGGGGGCAGCTGTCAGCCTCGCACAGTTGCAGGGGTGGCACTTCAGAAGGCTTTGATCAGCTGCTGCAGCCTGTTTGGGAAGGCACTCCTAGGCCATGAAGAGAGACCCGAGTTCAGGTCCCTGCTGATCCCGATGCACTATGTCCTCCTTGGCCAATCGTTCTCTCTCAGCCTAACCTACCTCACAGGACTGTTAAGATAAAACGGAGTGAGGAAGAACCACGCACAGTGCCTTGAACTCTTTTTGTGGAAGGGCAGGATAAAAAATGTCTATAAATCAATCCAGGGAAACTTTATTTAAATAGGTTGTGGTGGGAATTTACAAACGTCTGTGGCTGATCTGAGGAAAACATCTAGAGGTGGTGGTGGGGTGGTTGGGGGGGCCCAGGAAAGGGTGGAGGGGCCAGGTGGTTTTGACCAGGCCTGTGCCGGCAACAGTGGGCTCCGGGCTGCCTGTTGCTGCCACCCAAGCCAGGTGGCCTCTGCAGAACCACTGGTGTGGTAGATTCCCGGCAGCCTTCCAGGGCAGTGGCCCCTTGGGAGCTTCACCAGGAGGCTAAAGGTCCAGTCTGCCCTCTTCCAGCCCAGCTGTTCTGCCTGTCTTTCGCCTTCCCACCAACTCAGTCTAATGTTATAGAAAACCTGCCCCACACTCCCTTCAGGATCCAACTCACAACCAATGAGTCGGTGCTCAGACCTAGGAGAGAGTCGGTTGAGTGTATTTATTTATTTATTTAGGCATTTATATCCTGCTCTTTGCTCCAGTTGGGACTCAGAATGATTTACAGCATCCTTCTCCCTTTCTCTATTTTGCCATCGGGACAACCAGCCTGTGGGGTGGGTTAGGTGAAGAGAGACTGGCCCAGCCTCACCCAGCAGGCTTCCGTGGCAGAGTGTGGGTTCGGAGCTGGCTGGCCCGGGTTCTAGTGTGACCAGGTCAAGCTCTCTCCACTGGGCACAACAGATTTTCCATCCCATGTCTCCCCCCGTCCCCCACAGCTGCCATCAACTTCCCTGCCTTCAGGAATGGATGCAAGTCCCTCCCCTCCCCCAGGTCTTTCTCGACTGGGCCCTGGGGGGACTCCAGAGCACTCCCGTGGAAAGATCGGGTGGGGACTAAACCCTCCCTTCACCTCACTGGTGAGGGAAGTCCAGACTGCAGGTGTCCCAAGAGTTCGGGCAGAGAAAGGTCTTTCCCGCACCTGCTTCCTGACCTCCTTTTAGCTGGAGTTTCCTGGGACTAAACCTGCAACCCTTAGAATGCAAAGTGTGTGCTCGACTACTGGGCCACGCCCCATTTCCTTCCATGAATCACGAACAATGCCAAATTGGCAAATGCTTGGGGCTTTGGTGAACTTCTTCTGTTCTAGGTGCACAGTTTGTTTGAGGAGGGTTTACTTTATTTATTGTAGTTATTTATACCCTTTCTTCCCATTGGGGACCCAAGGCGGCTTCCAGAATTTTCTTCTCCTCCATTTCATCCTCACAACCACCCTATGAGGTAGGCTAGCCTGGGAGAGTGTGACCGGCCCAAGGTCAGCCAGTGAGCTTCCATGGCATGAGTGAGGATTCGAACCTGGCTCTCCCAGATACTAGTCTGACACTCTTAACCACTGCACCACACTGGCTCTAGGTTTAAGCAGAGCACACAGCTTTACAAAGCTTCACCTTGCAAATACAATACTGATGCAACCACAAAATTATACAAATGAAGCTAAACCTGTAACTTATTCCAAGAATGAGCTCTTTGGGATCTGAAGCCCCAGCCTTTCAGCCACTAGGAATTGCACTTAGTAGTTATTGTCCACATGAAGGGAGAAGAAGGGAAAGGCAGTTGTAAGCCACTTCGAGACTCCTTAGGGTAGAGAAAAGCGGAGTATAAAAAACTACTCTTTTCCTGCTCTTCATAACATAAGTCATATTTTTGTAGATGTGAGAGTTGGAGACTTGCAGTTGTTAAAACCAAGGGCTGAGATTCCCTTGCATTCTTTCACCTCCCTGTCAGTAATCCCTTGGGTGTTTCATTCTGTAAAATGGTGAGCCGCTGGCTATGTGACTTTCACGTAGGCGTTGATTCATATAGCACCTAGCACAGTATTAGGCACTCTATAAATAGCTGCAGCAGCCTGCCATTAGCTTCGGGAGGGAGAAGTCAGTCACACACGCACCCCCCCAAGCTGGGCCAGCCTGATTATTAGCCTTGTAGCACCTAAGCGAGAGAAATGAATTCCCAACAAAACAAAGACTGGGAGCGTTTGAACTTCAGCCCTGCCAAGAGGTGAGCCATTCAGCAGACAAATGCCTTTGAAATCATAGCACTCGAGAACGTCAATAAAAGTAATATCCAAGCGCCATTAATTCCACACTCAGCCAGAAAGCACTTTATTTACCAAAGGTTCAGCATGCAGCACACTTAGCTTCATAAGCCTGGCATAGACTTCTCCGGCTTAATCAATTCGGGCAGGCAGGTGGCTGAAAGCAAATGGCTGAACTGTAAGGAGAGCAATGAGTGTTACTCAAGTGTCTGCCGCCCTCCCACCAACCTAGGAATCTATTACCTTGTTTAGAATTCAGCGTTCAGCTTTCAAGTTTATGGAAAGTTATGGGGTTAGATCCCATGGATCCCCTTCCATTGATGTAATGGTTGTCTCACCAGCAAGGGATCACCTCGTAAAGGAGCCTTGTGTGGAAGGAACAGGGTTGTATCCTGACTTGGTTTTCCACTTGGGGGGGGGGAAGCTAGAGCAGAGGTGTCAAACTCATTTGTTACGAGGGCTGGATCTGACATAAATGGGACCTGTGTGCCGTAAAATGTAATGTGAGGTACCAGAGATAGAAACTGTATAAAGGACAGCAGCTGGTAAGCTCCAAGTTGGTGTATCTTC